TTGAGACTGGTAATTGTATGACATAACAATGATCTACTGATAGTATGAATGATTGTTTTAAACATTTGAAAGGAGTTGGTCCTATAAAGTATAGCTGCATTAACATTTTTCATGAAAATAGACTGTTATTATTATAACTTTATTCTTGTTATACATTTAGAATGTTAATAAATTTCAATAACTGGTATTTTAAATTTGAGTTTCTAGTTATTCTAATTAAAAAAATTTTTAAAGATAAGCTCCACCCTTGTAATTTCTTTTTTTTTTTTTTAACATTTTATTAGGGGCTCATACAACTGTTAACCACCTCCCATATTTCACATGAATTTTCACAGGAATATTTTCAAAACGTGTTAGTTTACTACGTGTGCTTAGAAAGTGCACCAGACACACACTTCCGGACATCCCAGAAAACAAGATGATTTTTTCAAACCTTATTCTTGTCAACCATCTATGCAACCATCTATGGAATAAAAGGTACCTACATAGCCATGGCTGTCCTATGAAGGGGTCTGCGAAGTGTGACCAGCCCGACATGGAGCCTTCCTCCTTCTTCACGCCGCCTGACCCGGGTCCTGGGACCCCCTGAACAACTGTGCCCAGGTGTCGCTCCTGAGGTGGCTTCTGCAGGTTAGAGGTGACCTAACGATTCCTTTTAAGGTCCTTACCCGCAGGTCACTTTTTATGTGTTTTCTAAAAACCAATGGACATTTCCCAGACGTGTGATTTTCCAGTTTTCCTTTATCATGTGTGGGCAACCCCTTTTCCTTTAGAAGGTCAACTAGTAGCACAAGTGTGCCGTTTCAAAGGTGGGGTGGGCTGAGAACAGCTTTTCTGGGTCATGTCCACGGGCCTTCTGCAGATGGTCAGTAGCTCTTCTCAAAGGGTGTGTGTGTGTGTGATGGGGGTGGGGGGCTTCTTATTGACTAAATATGGCCCTCAGTCCACTGAGGTTTTAATAGCAAGGTCACGTAGGACGACGACTGACCACCCGCTGACCAGTCCATCTGCTGTTCTCAGAGGCTGTGCTCACTTCCCAAGTCCACTCAGCTTTTATCCCAGATGAAGATCTGACTGAGAGAGCGGCCCACCCATCCCTGTCCCCCGCCCCCAGGTCCCTGTTTCATGAACATCCAGAGGCCACGATCTTTGGAAGTGATCCCTCTGTGTCTACTTAGGTCTGCCCTCTCGGGCCTGTCAGCCCCCCAGTGGTCCTCTGTGAGGTTTGAATGGTCGTTGTCCTTGCTCTGCCATACCCACCACCCAAAGGCGCCACGTCCTTGGCTACTTGGTGGGGCTTTGCGGCAGCCTGGCAGGGATGGGTCAGGAGATCCAGTGTCCAACGGGGTGCAGGCTCAGAGAGACCACTGCCATCAGGTCCAAAGGGAGTGAGGATTCACCCTTCCCTCAAGGCCAAGGCTGGGCAGATGGGACACCATGGTGAAGGCTCTGTGGTCTCCGTAGGGGAAGGGTTATGGCTGGACCCCAGTGTACCCCAGCCCTAGGGGTTGAGCCTGAGGGTTGAGGGCTGGTAGACTCTGTCACTCTCTGCTCTCACCCTGTGTGCTCTGCTCAAACTCAAGGCTGTGGATCTTTACGAAGGACGACGGCCAGATCTTCCTCCTGAGGAACAGCTGGTGGGTTGGCCCTGCCTACACCTGCTTGTCTCACCCACCCCCACCCCCCCACCCCCACACCCCCCCCCCCCCCCCCCACCCCCCGGCACCTCCAGGGGGTCGTTCTGCCATATCGGACTGCGGTGAATGGAAATTGACCCCATGAATGGAAATTGACCCCATGCAAACAATGATGTAAAAAGATACCCAGGTGATTACCTCTGGGGCAGCAGGATGAACGTTCAGTCACCTGATCCTGTGACCTCTGCTACCGACTGATTGACTGCCTCTCCCCGGCCACATCAGTCAGTGCCCACAGAGCTTTCAGGAGACTGGCTCCCAGCAACCCTCTTCCCTGTGCTTCCTGCTGGGTCAGGGCATCAGGGCACTGCCTTCTGCCAGGAGAGCGTCGTGTGTTGCTGCCCCTTGCTACCAAGTCTACAGGAAGTACCTGTGCGCACGCAACTTGGCTTGGGGCTCACACCTACTTCGCGAGTCAGGGCCTTCAACTTTGCTGCTGCAAATCGTCTTCCCATTCAATAATGTGGACACATTTTGCTTCACGCCTTTCTCAATGCACTCCCACTTTCCTCACTCCCCGCCCACACCCCCCACACCCCGGATTTCCCGTTTCGGTTCATCCTTCTTTGCTGCCCTCTGAGCTGAGTACTTGGGCAAATGCTACCCTTTTGGCCTCGTGGGGTCGAGTGTTCTCAAGAGGCCAAGCCTCACCAGTGTTGCTCACTTCTTGTTCTGCCGACTGTTTGGCGCCACCAGGAAGGAGTGGGCCCGGTCCCAGGCATGCTGGGTGTCTAAAGGGTCCTACCAGTATCTATCAGACCATTAAGGTTTTGCTGTTGTTTTTTTTATTACTGATTTTTTCTTTTAGGCTCCATCCTTTTCTTTCACTCTGTCTAGGACCCTCTGTTGTGATTCCAAACAGAGGACCCAGCAGTGGTCGTGGGGCACCATCTAGTTCTTCCAGTCTGTGTGGTCCATTCGTCCTGTGGACTAATTGTTTCCCCGAGCCTTGAATTGTCTAGTTTCATTCATTTGATACGGCCCCTTACAAGCTTCGAAGACCCCAGTCACCGCTCACGGAAGTAGAACGTGGGTTTGCGACCTTTGTGCTGTGCTCACTGACCTGCTAGTTGTCCCCCAAGACCATGGTCCTATGTCCACAAGCGTCAGCGTCCTCTTTGTAAAGATGGTTTCTTTGTTCACTAGGAAAACTAATCTTGTAGGAAAATACAGAGAATGATACATATCTATATTTTGTTGCACATTTTGAAATGCTAAAACTGCATGCACAGCTTAGTGATGTAGTATGCACATCAGTGGAAAGAATAAGACAAAGCACATCGCTGGTACCCCACACCATTCTCTCATGCGCCTCCCGGTTATCTCCCCACAAGGAAACCACTTTAACCCGATGACTGTGGCCAGTTCCTGAACTTTCTGAAAATAACTTCAGACTCTGCGCGTGTGGCTTCTTTCAGTCAATGTGAAAGGCGCAGGGGGCTGCTTCCCTGCCTGTCCTTTTCCTCAGAGTTCCACCATGCGAATTAGTGTCTTCTGGGAGCTCCAGCCTCCCATCCAGGCAGGTCCTAAGGGACGATTGGGTAATCGAAGGGGAGAAGTTGAGGGTGCTTACCTCCACCATGGCTTCAGGAACCAGGTCGGAGCAGAGGGAGAGGTTTATGCTCAACATTACCTTATATACTCGGGGGTCATGCAAGCCCCTCTAGTTACAGGTAGCCTTCAAAGTCACAAAGGGACCGAAAGGTCCCTCAGTTCAGTAGGACCCAGTGTTGGGGGCAGGTAAGATGGAATGACTGTCACCTGAGCAGGGAGAGCAATTGCCACCTGTCTGCCGGCCAGATAGCAATCAGCCATGTGCTTGTAAGAGGTCACTTTAAGGCAGCACTATTTTTTTTAATCTGCTTTAAAATCTCTCTCTCTACATCTATATTATTTTATTGGGGGCTCTTACAGATCTTATCACAATCCATACATCCTTCCATTGTGTCAAGCACATTTGTACAGATGTTGTCATCATCATTTTCAAAATATTTTCTGTAAAGGCGGAACTGAGGAACAGGGAGGAAGGCGGACATAAGTGGCAGGACAAGGGGGAGCAGAAGCAGAAATACCTTTATTGGGGGTTGGGGGAGCTCCCGGACGAGGTTCCAAGACCTGGGCCAACGGTCAGGGAAGTTGTGCTCAGCAGTTGGGGCCGAGGGTTTTTAAAGGGGTGTTGAGGAATGTATGGCAATGATGGAAACTTTGAGCCCAGAACATCTGGTTTCACTGGTTATCTTATCTGGCGCCAGCTGCTGCGGACCTCGGACGTGCAGGGAAGCGTGCGCAGGGCCTAGACCTGCTTCAGCGTAGTCCAAACGGGGGCTGCCTGGTTCAGACCCGGCCCAAACATTTTCTTTCTACTTGAGCTCTTGGTATCAGCTCATCCTTCCCCCACCTTCTTTCACCCTCCCTCCCTCATGAACCCTTGATAATTTATAAATTTTTTTTTTTCATGTCTGGTGTCCATCCCCCTGGGAGGGGGTTCTATGTTGACCATTGTGATTGGTGCCCCCTTTCTCCCCCCACCTTCCCCTTCCCCTCCAAGGATATTGTGGGGATTAATCTTGGCTATGAGAATGTGATGGGGCCTCATCTCTAACTGACAAGTACAAAGGCCTCCCTCTACCCAGAACCCTGGCCTGCCAGACTTCTTAAAAGATGAGAATAAAGAATTCTTCCGCATATGCTCTCTTCCCATTCCTCTGTTTCTCACATTATTCTTATTACTGTATATTTTTTTTTCACAAAGAACACCTTAAAAAATAGTAGCAGTGCCAGCCAGTCATGACATTTCCATAAAAGAGAGGTGCTATTATTATTATTATTTTGCATGAGAAGAAAAGGTAGAACTTTGAAAACGAGGAATGACCCTAAGAACATCATCTCCGTAGTAAATAGTGGGGTCACACAAAGATCTATGTTGCCTCAAAACCAGTCTGCTCTAGCCTCCTCTTGGTCCGTTGCTGTTCCTCGGCTTTAAGGAGTCCACACCTCCTGACAGAAACCAGTCTGAAAAAAAAAAAAAGGGAAAGAAAGAAACCAGTCTGTGGTTGGACCCCAAGAAAAGGGGCCAGAGGCAGCCCCAGCCGAGGGAAGGGCATAGACAGGCACCTCAGGGGCCTGCCAGCAGGCATCCAGGACAGAGATGGAGGGGGTCTCCCATGCTTAGGGGAACACCCCCTTCTGGGCGGGGCTGTGGGTGGACTAGAGTCAGCAGAAGGAGGAGTCTGGGCGCTTCATAGCTCATTGCTTAGCCTTGAGCTGGGCTTATAAACTTAGCCCAAGGCCAAGGCCACGGTTGCTCCAGCAGGCCCTGCTGCTGTGGAGCCTGGACAGTAGCAGTTGGTAGGGGCAGCATGTTCACCAGGGGGCTTCCCCTATGCTTAGCCCTGGTCAGAGGCTGCAAGCCTCCCCTGAGGACCCTCAGAGAGGGTCCGGGGCATCCCAGGGTGCTCACTGGAGAAGGAGCTAGAGGCACCTACTCTCGCAGCCCTCGGCCCTACAGTGAGGTCCCAACCCCGGGGATGAATGGCTGGCTGAACCTGTACCACTTCTGGAGGGAGAAGGGCATCCACAGACTCCACTATCACAACATCCAGAACTTCCAGAAGTTTGGTCCCATTTACAGGTGAGCCTGGCGGCGGTGGTGGTGAGGACCACAGAATTGGGCAGTGGAGGGCAGGCCTGCTCTGCTCTCTTGTAGTTAGATGCCAGCCCCCACTGTCAGGAGGAGGCTGAGGCTCCGAGAGGCCCTGCCCAAGCAGCTAGGTCTATGTTCTGCAGGGCTGTTAACCTGCCCCCCCCCACCCAGCCTCCCTCCTGCCCCCTGTACCAGACTCACAGTGGCTTTGGGAGCTGCTAAGAGGCCGGTTTTGCCCTTTCCCCAAGCCTTGCTCTCCTGGCTGCAGGACCTACGACCTGGGCGCCGTCCTGGGTGGGAGGTCTCACTCCCTGGTCTCCTTGCAGTCACACTTAAGTTCTGCTCCGAAAGCCTGGCTGAGAAGGACAGGAGGTGGTGGGTGGGGGTGGGGAAGGGAGACAAAGAGGGACCGTGCATTTTGCTTTAAGTGGCAGGAGCTTTATCAGGGCCTTTCCGATGGGACAGCGGGAGAGCACTAGGACTCAGGGAGCCAGGAAGGGGACCCAGACAGGAAACGGGAGCCGGCCTGCCATGTCTGTGTGGGTGCTGGCTGCTCACGTCTCCGGGTCACTGTCCGAAGTCATTCCCTTTTGAAGTCTAAACTGGAGTCTTTGCCAGCCAAAGCAAGTGGGTGCTGGGGATCAGAGGGGCTGAGTCTTTGGACCCGGGAGATGCTGTGTCCCTGTCTCTCCCGTCCTCGCTGCGTCTCCTAGGTCCGCAGCTGCCTCCGTCCCCAACCTCGGCTCCACAGTAATCTCTATCTGGGCTCCTCCCTGCCCTTCCTCCTTCCCCAATCCCTAGCCCCTCCCCACAGGTAGGAACAAGAATGGCTTATCCCTTTTATCCACCCCTTTCTGTTCTCGGAGTCTCGGCAGAGTCTGTGAAGTGGGGCTTCCCGTTCCCACCTTAGCCGACTGCCACCCCGTTAAGGCACACTCTCGGAGATCCCATGGGTGCCAGGGTAGAACTGTGTCTGCAGGGCTCTCAGGGGCTAGTGTCTCTGAGGCAGATCACCAGGCCTTTCTTCTGAGGTGCCTCTGGGTGGCCTCAAACCTACCACCCACTTGTTGGCAGCTGCCCAAGTCAGCCAGTGACACCCCCGTGTGACTCCTATGTGCCTTGCAGCTAAGGCCGCTAAGGCCTAGGAAGAAGGGTCTTCCCAAGGCCACATAGCTCAGCAGGCAAGGCCCGAGCTGCCGCCAAACAGCCAGACCTCCAGTCTGTGTCCACTGTCACCCTGTCCCTCAGAACCTTCCGGATCAATGTAAGGAATTTCGATCCCATTTCCTCCCTCTCTTAACAAATGTGGCCGCTCTCACGGGACCGTCTAGAAAATACAAACCCCCCTGCAGACTTGCAGTCAGATGCAGTCTCCCCTCCGGTCCAGGGAAGGGTCCACTCAGAAAGTGAACGTGTTAGGTAGCGGCTAGGTGTGGTTCCACCATGGACAGAATCCTAACAGGCTTCTCAAAGGAAGCCTGGTCTTCCATAGTCTAACGGGCTTGAATTTCCAGCCAGTTCCTTGGGGCCAGCAGTTAGCCTGCTCCCCTTTGAATTTCTCCTCTTTTGGTTGTCCTTGCTATTAAACCTGATGAACCGCTCCTCTCCTGTGCATGCGTCCCCTGGGGCTAGGGTGCCTGACAGCAGAGGGCTTGATCCTAATGGTAGCAGATCAAGGACTTTGCTGAGCTGGAGTGGGAGGGGCAGGGGAGGGGGGGCAGAGAGGGGGGAGGGGGCTCTGGTGAACAGTTTGAGGACAGGTGGTGACTGGAAAAACGGGGGGAGGGGGCGGGTGACGTTTTTGGGAAGCCAGGGCCAAGTAGCAATCTGAGGAATTTGATGAGTCAGTGAGCAAGCCTCCTATCTCTTACCCTCCCCACCCCAAGAGTGTTTTTCATCTCTTGATATTTGGCCTTAAAGTGCACTTGCATACCTTCCTGAGGTAGCCGGTGGTCTTGTTTCACAACCTTTGTATTTTAATGAAAACTCTCTGCAAAGCGTGTTCCCAGGTACATCTCTATACGGTGTGTGTGGGATGTGGGGTGGGGTCACAGTTCCTGCTCTTTCAGAGGGCCTTGTCCAGAGTCTGACTCTCGGGGAGGGGTGGGTGTAGGGTGACCCTTCGAATTTCAGTCCAGTGTTTTGAAGGAGGGGTTTGCTGGCATGGTAGGTGGCATGTCTGGTGAGCTGCCTGGTGTTGGAGTCCCGGTGGTGATGGCATACCATGAGTGCCAGGATTCTGAGCTGCACAGGGGGCTCGGGTGCAGAGGGTGAGGAGGCAGGAGGAGGGGGCACGGGACAGAGGACTTGAAAGCTCAGGGGAGATTGTGGGGTGCAGCTGATCCCCAACCACTAGGATAAGGATGACAATACGGTGTGACCTCGAGAGTCCTGCAGACGTTCCCACCCCCGGGCTGGGCATCCTGCCCTTCCGTGGCCTTGGCAGATGGGTACCGGATGAGGGGCTTTCAAACACTCCCAGGAAAAGGAAAGAGACTGAATCTCCCCACTAACTTTTGAAAGCATCCTTGTATCTATCCCCATTTTTAAGAAGGGAGACCATATAGAGAGGTTAAGGGACTTACCTGAAGTTGCAGAACGAATACGTTGCGAACCAGGAGGCAGGTCTGCCCGGATCTCCATAGCTCTTTGGACTTCCGGGTCACAGCCCTCTCTCCCGACCCTCCAGGGAGAAGCTGGGCAGCATCGAGTCGGTTTACATCATCGACCCTGAAGACGTGGGCATTCTCTTTCGGTCTGAAGGCCCCAGCCCCGAGCGGTACCTTGTGCCCCCCTGGGTTGCCTATCACCAGCACTACAAGAAACCCATTGGGGTGCTGTTCAAGTGAGTCTGGGCTGCCTCCGCCCCCCCCCCCTGCCCCCGGGGGTGGATGCAGACCAGGAGAGAGTCAAAGCCAAGGGGGATGGGCAGGGTCCATGCCTGCCTTGCTCTTTCTAACGGGGTGTCTCAGAGTCAGTCCTGTTGCATGCTGCACCTCTGTAAAACAGTGCTGGGGATGATGAGCTGTCTGCCAACCATCAGGGAACGGGGGAGGCTGAAGACCCCCAGTTAGTGGCTCCCTCGTGACGCCTCATCGTGTTGAGAAGCTATGCCGTGCCTGGCTCTGTGCCAGGGCTGGAGGTGCCATGGCAAGTAGGGAAGGACCTTGTCACCTGGAGTCTCCCTGTCTAAAGGGACCAGAGAAACAGGGACAAAGCGGTGCATTTAAGCACGGTCCCCTGCTCATCCACACTGAAAACTGTGGCCACGTCAGAGGCTGGGAAGACGTAGGGCACCGGCGCTCGCACACGCCTCTGCCATCATGGGTGGTGAACTCTGACTCATGGGGACCCCCCCACGCGCGAGGGAGCAGAGTTGTGCCCCACAGATCGGTTTTGCATGTAGAAGGCTAAGCCCTTCCCCTGAGGTGCCTCTGGGTGGACTTAACTCGAACCTTCCAGTAGCAGCTGCGTGTGTTCCCTGGGTGGTCCACGCAGGAATGCCCAGGCACCACTAGCAGGAATGTCAATGGGTGCCCCCACTTTGGAAGACAGGTTGGTCAATCTCTCTTAAAGCTGAACCACGACCCAGCAGGCATGTGCTCAAAAGTTAGAGTGCAGAGGTGCCCTTGCCCATGTGACCCACCCCAGGCGCCAAAGCCAGGAGCCCACGCCAGTGCTCCACAGGCGTGCACGGGGCAAACCGCAGCGTGGCCTTGTGTGAATGAGGGGACTCACTGGCCTACAACCCCACGGATGGCGCCTCGAAATATGAAAGGGAGTGAAAACACAGGGCTCCAGAATCATGACGACTGTCTTTTTATCTTCAACTCCCTCCCAGGACCAGTGCGTTTTAAAAACCATTAGCAAATGGTAAGCCCTGCTTATGATTTCTAAGAGCCACCATGCATTGCCTTTACTTTTTAACGGTGGCAAAAGCCTCTCCTGGCGAAGGAGGTGCAGGTTGATGGCGTGGATGACTGGTCTCACTGCCACACTTGTCGTCCTCTTCCCACCCCTCACCCAGCTGTCACTTGCTCTTTCTCCCTGTGTTTCTTGTTTCGGCTCCACCTGCTGTCCTGACCCTCTGGACGTCATCACTGCCTAAACCAGTGGTGCTCCACTTTCCTCATGCCGCCACCCTTTCATACGGTGACTCATGTGGTGGGGACCCCCAACCATAACATTATTTTCGTTGCCAATTCATCACTGTAATTTTGCAACGGTTATGAATCATAATGTAAATCGTAATGTGTTTTTTGGTGGTCTTAGGCAACCCCTGTGAAAGGGTCATTTGGCCCCCAAAGGGTCAAGACCCAGAGGTTGAGAACCGCTGTCCTAGACGCTGCCCTCATGGTCTTGAACGGCTGATGAAGCGACCACCGGGGGAGTTGAGTTCCAGTCCTGAAGGATGACTAAGTGCCAAAGTCTCTCTAATCAGTCAGCCTGGTCTCTTTCGGGATGCTGAGTTTTGTTCCACACGTTTCTCCCCTCTCTCCAGAACCGTCTCATGTGATCCCTTTCGGAGCAGTTGGTGGTGGTAGCTGAGCACCGTCTAGTTTTTCTGGTCTCAGGGTTGTGGAGACAGTTCCAAACCATGACAACTTATAAACACACACACATGAACAGTTTTATTGACATATAATTTATGTACCATACATTTCAGTGGTTTAACTATATTAAAAAGAATTGTGCATTTATCATCATAGCCAATTTTAGAACATTTTCTCTGTTCTTGTATTCATTACGATTAGTGTCCCATTTCCCCCCAACCTGCCTTGGCATCCCCCAAGAGATTATTAATCCAGCTACTGTCTCTATAGATTTACCTATCCTGAATTTCATAAACAGAAAATTATATCAACAAATACCAACCACCAACAAAAACAGAAAAACCTCAATCCCAAAGAAAGCAGAAAATAATAAAAACTAGAACAAATTTCAAATGAGTCAAAAGGAGAAAATGTTAAAAAGTGTTAAATTTCAACCTCACTAGGTCTGTATTAACCCACTTTCTAATGCATACTATCCGGGGGCAAGGCTAGTCCCATTCCTGGTCAATAGTCAGAGAGGATTCACTGGAGGACTAATCCAGGTGGGGACCCTACCAACTTTGGGGTTTCACTATCACAGGTAGCCTTCTGCAAATCGGTGCTCAGAGTTTAAGTTATAACAGTTCCCTCCTCTGGTCTGGGATTTAATTATTTACAATCCTCAGATCACACAGGCAGATGTGCTTCTTTTGTGTGGACTTAGCTAAACACCTCGCGAGATGGCAGCCTGTTTTGAGACAAGTTTTAAAAACCCAGGCACTGTTCTTTCTGAGGGGCAGGCACCATCTGACTTCGTCACCACTTTTTGTTATGGCATCCATAACTTGAGTGGTTCCTTCTTGAGGGTAAGTATCAAGCAGGGCCAAATTATAAAACGTGATTGTTCCTAGGTTAGGGCTTATGATTCAGTGGGAGCTCAAAATCCATTTATATAGCTAGAGCTTGTATATCTCCCAGTTCCACTTTAGTGGCAGTGTTTTCAGCTTTTTGAGTAATAATTACCCATGGAACTTTTGGCGATTCTAATAATCGTATCATAAACTAGCCAATGGTATAGAATTTAAGGTACTATTGAGACACGGGAAAGCTTTTTAGACCAAAGTACACAGGATGTTCACTTACATGTATTTGAAAACTTAAGTGGCGGAGTCCTGTTTAAGAAAACAGTGAGGGTTAGACACAGGGCACACAATTCTGTAAGACTCGTCCACTGTAACAGAACTACGTATCAGCAGAACTAAGCCATAGCCACTACAACTTTCATAAGGAATGAAAAAGAAGTATACATTTTTTAAAAAGTATTAGAAATATGCTGAGTTTTAGAAATAAAGGTCACTCACAGAATACAGTAAGAGATCCAGGGGTTATCCCTTCCAACTGGGAGGCAGGGGGCACGGGACGCAGGAGGACCAGGTAGGCAAACAGACCATGCTGTGAAGTGCCTGGGAGCCCTGGTGGTGAAGTGGATACGTGTGGGGCTGCGAAGCACAGGTCAGCAGCTTGAAACCACCGGCCACTCTACAGGAGAGCTACAGTCCCAGAAAAGAGTTACAATCTCAAAGAGCCACCAGGGCAGCTCTCCCCTGTCCTATAGGGCTGCTATGCCGAGGAATCAAGCCAATGGCGGTGGGTTGGGTTTGGGTGTTTGGTCAAGTGCCGGGTTCTTCCTGTTGGGTGGGGAGTTTAGGGGAACATTCTTCTAACCATCACCACCTCCACTTACCAACGACAACCAGGCCTCCCAGACTACCCAGGGGTCTTTGTGTGGATCAAGTTTTCAGGAGAGGCTACAAACTCAGGATTATTATGAAGCCAAGTCTGGGCACCAGGTTGAGTAGTGAGTAGGCACAGTGAGGTCGTGGACATGTGGATGCAGAGGAGGACAGGTAGGGGATGCAATGTGACACAGAGGGACCTTTGAATAACAAAAGGTAGAAGAGGCCTGGCCGCTGAGTCAAAGGCTGGTGGACGTTTTTAAAAGGTGAGCGCCTATCTCGCATCATCATCATCATCATCATCAGCAGCAGCAGCAGCAGGAGCTCAGGATTCTGTCCTCCTTTACCTTTGGGCAGGGTGGGAGTAGGGGAATGTGCCAGGTGGAGGGCACTGGACGAGGTGGGGCTGGGACTCTGATGCATGCACTGGGTGCTCGGAGCTGAGCCTTGGCTGTCTGGGAGAAGCTGCTCCCTGCTTGCCAGGCTTGGGCTCTATGACCACGAGGGCTGGAGGGCCTGTGTCTTTTCAGGAAATCAGAAGATTGGAAGAAAGACCGGATAGCCCTGAACCAGGAGGTGATGGCTCTGGAGGCCATAAAGAACTTTTTGCCCCTGCTGGACACAGTGTCTCAGGACTTCGTCAGCTTCCTGCACAGACGCATCCACCAGCAGGGCGTTGGCGAGTACTCGGCGGACATCAGCGATGACCTGTTCCGATTTGCCTTTGAGTGTAAGGGGCTGGCACCTGGCGGTCGGCAGAGTCTGGGGGTGGGAGGTTGGCGGTGGCAGAACTTGGCGTCCACTTTCCTGCCTTGAGGCCCGGGGCAGGCCGTGCAGAAGTGTTGGGGTTGGCAGTTGCGGGGAGCTGCTGAGCAAGTTCTCCACCATCAGCTACCCAGTACACTCTCATCTGACCTTCATGCTGTGGCCGTGAAGGTCTCTTGGCCACCCTTCTCCAAAAGCCAGAGCTTGGCTTAGTCCTTTATTCAGTAAATACCCTGCCCTTGGACCAGGGAGCCCCGGTGGTGTAGTGTATTACACATTGAACTGCCAACTACAAGGTCAGATGTTTGAACCCGCAAGCTTCTCCCAGGGAGAAAGGTGAGGGGTTTTGCTCCTGTAAAGATCTTAAGTCTCAGAAATCCCCAGGGATAGTTCTACTCTGTCCTATGGGGTTTCTGGGGGTTGGAACAGACTTAATGGCAATGATTTTGGGGGGTCTGTAGGGAGGGAAAGTCATAGACCTTAGAGCTCTTAGAGGGGGAGGGGGCATTGGGTGATTTATCTGAGCTTGGTATTGAAGGATGTGAAGTTACCTATGGTATAAGGAGCCCAGGCAGTACAGGTTGCGCAGCAGTACTTACAAAGGTCCTGTGGCTGGTTAGGAAGGGTCACTACAGGAAATCTGGGGTGCTTGGAACTTGGTATGAAATCAGGATTCAAACTCCTGACTTAGGGAAATGGTGGGCTTGTTGGGACTTCTGAGGCCCAGTCCGATTGAGTCCTGATGGCCAGTTGCCCAGGGATTTTATGTTTCTTTCATGTGACCTCTTTCGGAATGGAGCCAATTCAGTGATTTACAGAAAGGAAGCCTTCTTCCCAGGAGGAAAACCCACAGGCTGCTTAGGGGTGCTGCTGGATGGGGAACTGACAGGAGCGGTTTTACCCTGGCCCGGGCCATCTCCCAATTCTGCTGGAGGCCCTGTTCAATGTGTGACCAGGGTCGGACTCCGTGTGTGACCAGGGTCTTCCATATGTCCCTCAGAAGGTCCTGGGTGGCCACCAGGTCTTCTCCACTTCCTTATGGGGGGAGGCAGAGGTGACAACGGTATCCGAGGTGAAGTGGGTTGTGTGTCCATCTGTGAGCAGTGTGCGTGGGAATCTAGGGAGCCGAGACTCGCTGGTGGCCAAGGCAGAGCTCCCCCGTCTTGGTGTGCCCCTGCAGCCATCACCAATGTCATCTTCGGGGAGCGCCTGGGGTTGCTGCAGGAGAGGGTGGACCCCGAGGCCCAGAAGTTCATCAATGCCGTGTACCAGATGTTCCACACCAGTGTCCCCATGCTCAGCCTCCCCCCGGACCTGTTCCGTCTGTTCAGGACCAAGACTTGGAGGGACCACGTGGCCGCGTGGGATGTCATTTTCAGTAAAGGTGAGGGCTCCCCTGGCTGGGCCATGCAGGGGACCCCTGCCTCGCTCAGGGGGCATGGAGCAGGAATCCCGGCCCGGGGGAGGCAGAGCAGGCCTAGCCCTAGTTCTTTGTCCTGTGCATGGTGACATAGTAGTTAAGCATCGGACAGCCGACTGAAGGGTCAGCAATTGGAACCCACTAGCGGCTTTGTGGGAGAAAGATGCGGCTGGCTGTCGGAACCCCCGGGAGCAAGGTCCACTCTGTCCTATGAGCCAGAGAGATCGAGAAGCACTGTGTTGATGGCAACAGCTCTGACGTGGCAGGTAGGGGTGGCATCAGGAGGGTCCCAAGATCTCTGAAAGTGGCTCTCCGAAAGTACTGGCTGTTAGGAAGATTGGATTTTCCTGGAGAATGAGGATCTCCAGGGCATCCATCCTTCCTCCAAGGAGCCCGTGACCCTCGGGGGCTCGGGGTCAATGTCTCAGCTGCAGCTGCGCTGGGGAACAGCAGAGGGGGGACTGGGTGAGGGAGGTCGGGAGGCTGATAGCATGGTGGGCCAGTGAGCCAGCTCCCTGCGGCCTTGGCTTCCAGCGATGCCGTGGGGAGTCCTGAAAACGCAGCTGGACAACCGCAAGGGCTCAGGAAAATCACAGCTGAAAGAGCACAGAGCTCCAGCCGCCCGCCCTCCGAGCAGCTTCTCCCCAAAGGTGGCTCTCCTTCTGGCCCACCGACCCACACAAACGCACAATCTTTGCTCCTTCCCCCAGCTGAACAGTACACCCAGAACTTCTGCTGGGACCTCAAACACAAAAGAGTCTTTGACAATTACCCCGGCATCCTCTACCGCCTCTTGGGCAACACCAAGCTGCCCTTCGAAGACGTCAAGGCCAACATCACCGAGATGCTGGCGGGCGGCGTGGACACGGTGAGGCGGCGGCAGGGTCACATCCAGTGACCCCTGGGTTCACAGGCTGCGCTCTCCCCTGCAGCCCTGCTAGGAGGGTGGACCGGCCCCTATGGGACAGAATCCCCGTCCTGACACTGTATCCTACCGAGCCCTGGTGGTCCAATGGTTAAGCACCTTGCTGCCCAGGAGGTTGGCGGTTCCACCTCAGCCACAGCCTCCGAGGGAAGCTCTTGGGTAACACAAATCAGACTGCTGACTGCAAGGTTGGGGGTTCGAATCCATCCAGGGTGCGGCAGAAGAAAGACCTGGTTGTCTACTTATGAGAAAATAGCCCCCCCCCCCATGGAAGACCCCGTGGACACAATTCTACTCTGACGCACATGGGGTTGCTGTCATTGGGGTTGGCTTGATGGCAAAGGGTGTTTGTGCTGTTTTCAATCCTGTAGGGGTGTGAGGCCCCAGGCGAGAGGTGAGACAGGTCAGCTGTGTCCTTGCTTTGCCTGTGAGAGCGAGCGAGTTGGCGCAGGTGGCAAGCTGCTCGAGTTCTCTAAGAGGATAAAGACCCCCAGCCGCCTTGCTCAGTGGGAGTCTAGCAGCAGTCTGGGGGTTCCCCAGCCACGCTGCCCGGCTGCACTCCCTCCCCCGACCCCCGGCTCGTGGGGCGATGTCTTCCTGTCTCTTCCTGCTTCAGCGGCTCAGCGGCCGGCACCAGGTGCCGTCTCCATCTCTCCTCTTCCTTCCCGTATAGGGACACAGGTTTGGGGACTTGGGACCCACTCACACAATCCTAAGGAGCCCTCATGGCATGGCCGTTACCAGTTGAGCTGCTAACTGCAAAGTCAGCGGTTC